ATATATAAAGATTATTAAATATGTGTGTGTATGTAATTCAAATATATTTGAACATTATTCCAACTGAATACTATCGTATAATGTTACTTCTGTCTCATAATGTAAGATAAAGTATAAAAATAAACAATTAATGGATTTACTTTAGAAAAATGTTCAATATTTTTAGGATAGTACAAAAATGAAAGTGTATTTTACAAAACGGGATGAATGGACTAATGGAGTAGTGTTTGTATTTTATTTATTTGAATTACAGTTGTATTAAAAATATTTAAATATTACGTAGCAATTAATTATCGTATTTAAGCTACGGAGTATTTAACAAAACAAATATTACAATATATGATACTATAATATGCAGTTTCCATTATTTTATTTTACTTATGTATGCGTATAATAGTTTGATAATGACGCAACTCCCAGTCCAGTCTCCGCGATCTAATATCATAGAGGCCGCGTTGATTAATATTCCACGTTGATGATGGTATTTGAGCTGTGTTTTACAATAATAATACTCTTATAAGTATGTAGAATCTTCTAGAACTTGTATCAAACATTCAAACATAACTTATTCATATTTATGCTTTTCCGATTAGTTAATTTCCAAATAATTTGGATTTTTATAGTCCTGCTCCCGAATCCCTTGCATAAATTCTTAAGAGATTATTGTCTCGTATTACGCTAAAATAACTTTTTTTCCTTTTATAAGAGCAAGTTACTACAACCAAGGAATATTATGTGCGCACTATAGATGATTTTTACTCCAATAATTTTCTTTAGAAAGTCAAAACTCTATACCTTCTTTAATCATTTTCTATAAATAATATACCTTTTTATGGATCTAGCGCATGCTTGACACATCAAGTTTAGCACATAATCCACAACACTGTTTGTTATAACTTTGTCATTTTTTAGTTATTTCAAAAACTTTATAATTTTCACATTTACTCCGTAATTAATTAGTTTGTTGTTTCTATCATTTTCTCTCATTCATATAATCATCAACTACATAATTTTACTTTATTCTCTCATTTCCCAGTACCAGTCAAATTTGTTAAAACTTTGAGGGACGGATGGAATAACTAACAAATAGCGTGCATTACGTATATTGATTGATTTGGAAGTAGTTACTTTCTCAATTTCTTGTGATGCTATCTATTACACTATAACTATTCCTATCAATTTACTCTATTCGTCCTAGTGCTCTATTGTTTATCTGTGCCTGTTCTTTTTATAATTAAACACATAAAAAATTGTAATGGAACTTCTGTTTTTGAATTTGTTCTAATAATTTTTAACAGAAGTTTATCTAAGATAGATAATTTCAAAGTAATCATTTTTACCAACAGTTTTTACTCAAATAAAACTTAGTATTTGTACGTATGTGGTGTCAAAAAAAATACTTGTAAGTAGGACGGAAACAACTAGAATAAATGATTGTAGAAAATAATCATTAAATAATTTTTCTCCATTCCATAATCATAAATTAATCTATCATCATGCCTCCATTCTATTAACACTCATTGCCATTTGCGAGTCGGGAGTCGGGACTTTGATTTTATGTATGTACAAATATTAGAGAAATTTTATGGAGTCGTAACTCCACTCTGGAGTCATAGTGCACATGCATGAGACTTCACACAAATCACTCATTTTTAGAATGAGATATCCCACTATAAAAATAAGATGACACCTCCGGTACCCATTTAAAAAACGGGGTTCCGTACCTACCACTCACATGATTGGTCCAAATCATTATATCATTTTTAATTTAGATTTAAATAATTCAACTGCAACATTCTGATTGGTCCAAGTGGACAAAGGTGTGGTACCTTTTGGGTACCATAGAATCTACCTAAAAATAAGTGGTTATTGTGAAGACACATAAACAATATAAGAATATAACTCAACAGTGGAGTCATATGGTCTATGGAGTTCCATAAATTTTTTGATAAAGTTCAATAATCCGAAATCAGGAATATAGTTTAATGAATATGCATGCATTAAAGTATGGTCCTTGGCCTCTTGTAGTATACAATTTGTAATCCCCGACAATATTCCTGACTTCGTCACTCATAAAACTCATAAGACTTTTTTGTCCTAAATGGGACTAAAATGTTCCTGAAATTCCTAAATAGGACTATGCATATTTTTTTTTACCTAAATAGGATTAAATTACTCATTTACCCTTATTCTTTCTTTTTTTTCCCCTCTTTTCCCACGCCATCTTTTCCCCTGCGCAACATCTCCTCCTGCTCAGCTTCCTTTCCCTTTCCACCCAACTTCTCTTTCCTCTTGCACAAGAACAAGCAAACCCTAGCTCGAAGGCCGCCGCCACGGATGAGAAGTCTGTCGCCGCTGCCCAGTCGAAGCCATCGCCGCCGCTGCCCAGTCGAAGCCATCGCCGCTGCTGCCCAGTCAGATCCATCGCCGTCGCCCGTCGCCGCCCAGTCAGATCCGCCGCCCCCGCCGCTGCGAAGTCCGCTGCCGTGGAGATTTTCTTCTCTTCTTCGAAGGTCAGATTATTCTCCCCGTCCTTCCTCTCCTCTTCTCTGGTTCTCTCTTCCTCTCTTCTATTTCATTGCACTTGCTCCATCTCTTCTTTGTTTGATAAAAATTGCCAAGTTGAGCTCTGAAAATGCCATCAAAATGGCATTCTTATTCTACAAATTTTTTGTATTTTTCTTTGAAAATGCCATTAAGTTGGCATTCTCCATTCGTTTTTGGCATTTTGACAAAAATGTTGGCATTCGTGCTAGGGACGGCCAGATCTGCAACAATAGCGGCCAGATTTGCAATGGAGGTGCCGGATTAGTTGCGACTGTGGTCGGATCTACAATAGCGGTGGCTGGCGGTCGATGCAGGTTAGATCTGACCAGATCTCCGGCGGTGTCTGGCAGATCTGCAGCGGCGACAATCATATCTACAACGGCAGTGATGAGATCTACAATGACGGCTGGTTTTGAGGTAGCAGTAACGTCCGGCGACCGGCGGTGACCGGCGGTGACCGGCGGCGACCGGCGGCGACCGGCGGCGACCGGCGGCGACCGGCGGCGACCGGCGGGGACCGGCGATCGGCGGTGGTCCGAAGTTCTGGTTGGCGGCAGAATGATTATCAAGCTTCAAGGGTGTTTTTGTCAAATTATAAATAATAACTCCTATTTGGGAGATTTTTAAACTTTAGTCCTATTTTGGCAATTAATGACTTATTTAGTCCCATTTAGGTCAATACCTCAACTCATAAAGTTAGAACCCTCTAATCAGTCTAACGACTGATGCCGTGATAGATAGGGTGGCATTCAAATATTTGATGAGCATCCATATTTGAAACCATGCAATAGTCATGTCCTTTGACCCTAGTTTAATCAACACTCGAAACTAAACTACACAAACATTTTCTTGTGTGGATATATGGCTAGATTAGAATGAGTGATATATCAAGATACACTTGAAAGCATTTTCTGTGTTTGAAAAAACGAATAACTTACTAGTGAAAAAAACGCCAATTTGCGATATAGATTAATAGTGGCGCTTCTGAAATAACCGCCACAAAAATGAGTAAAAATGAATAACTCACTAGTGGTTTTGGTCTACCGACCACCGCAATTTATTTTATATACATTTTTAAAAATAACCGATGCACTTTAATTAAATGCATATCGGTTTCAAATTAATTTCAAATGGTTTTTATTTAAATCACGCGGCAGTTTTTTGAGTGACTAAATAAAGAAATTTGATAAAGTTTTGCCAGAAGAATTGAGCAAATGAAAACTCTAATTATTAGGTAATTTTCTAAATCACACACTAAAGATTTCAAAAAAAGTCACGTTAGGCAATGAAGAGAAGAGTGACGAGAGCGTCGAGAAATGGAGACGGGTGGACCGGGTCCTGACTCTTGAGGAAGGTTGATTTTTAGGAAACATGTTTCTAGATGCATGGCAAATTCGATCACCATACTTTCATGCATTCTTCATATATTAATAATTGTTTCTTCCTCGAGTCTACAAAGTCTACTGAATGCATTTTCCCATTCCATTGAATACAAGTCATTGTTTTGCCCTTTTCGATCTCTTCTTTGAATGAGTTGTTGTGTTGAACTTATTGGAGATGCAAAATTTTATCGCAAAATCACGTTTCAAATTTTTTAAGTCTCAAATAGCCGGAAATAGGAAAAAAGGCACAATTGTTATTTTTCTCAAAAGGCATTCACTTTTATTTTTAGGATGAAATAAAAGTACTCATATACGGAGTATATAAATCTATTTTATTCATGTTGCAATCTTATGTCTTATGTTTAATCATTTCTAAAATTTTAACTTTATACGCGGTACTACCTCTATTTAATTTATATATAGTTGATTGAAGTTTAAGAGTCAAATACTAGGCAATAAGGATAATGAATAGTGCAAAAAATAAAGCTAAAAAGTAGTCCGTTAAAGTAGAAAAGAATGATGAAGTATATATGAAAGATCATATTTGTGTATTTAGGTATCAAATATCATATTTGGGTATTAGGTATTCAGATTTTTTATTTGTATTGAAAATCTCTGATCTGATCTAAATAGGTCCAGTTTAGTCTTGTAGATGTCTGATCATTTTATAACTATTGAGATCCAGTCTGGTATAGGACTAAAACTGGTGTATGTAAACTCATCTTTATTAGATAGAAATTAAAATTTACAGAGTAATAAAAAGTAGATTTGTTTCAACTATCTAAAAAGGCATGCTTCCTTCGTTCTCTTTTAATTGCAACGATACACTTTTCATGTTTGTCAATACTCAAATTTAAAATGAGAGGAACTTAATCATATTTTAAAAAAAAAATATAATTATATATTAACAAATAAAATGTTGTCAAAGTGGAATATGTGAATTGTGCAAAATTCTCTATAAAAATACAGGGAGTACGTTGTTCATACGTTGCAACTATTAAACTACTCTGTATATAAATATGGGTGGGAGGGCATATTATAGAGACTCCATTTCATTATTTTAGCTAGACCTTTGACTCTTTGAGATAATATACCACATATAGGTCTCCTTTATGCCCAATGTATTGTGCATGTCTAAGCGATTAGTTTTCGGGCATAAAAGAAAAGTAGTAGAAGAAAATGAAGATTTGTAAACATGACTCCGGAGAAGAAGAAGAAGAAACGCTCTCCTTGTGTGATCTCCCTATATACAGCAGCAGCTCTTCGTCAGATTGGGAAAAATTCTCCTCACAAAGCTCTGTTTCCTCGTCTTCAACGTTGCCGTCCGACCACTTCTTTGAGTTCTTCAGTGAAGAATGGAGCAGTAATAAATCAAATCTCCCTCCTGAACAAATCATCTTCTTCGGAAAGCTTATCATTCCTCAGGTTGGAATTGTCCCAGAAAAGGAGAATGGGAAAAGAGTAAAGAGAAAGCAAAGAAATGGGTCGTCATCATCGTCCAAGGTTGTCGGAATGAGGGAATCTGCTGAATCTTTGTCGGCGCCCCCGTTTTGGAGGTCAAGATGGTTTCAGTTCTTCTTCGGAATGGGTGGGCTTCCTAAGGAGATGGACTTGAGGGACTTAAGGATTAGGCAGAGCCGCCGTGAAACGCCGTCACCGTCGTCATCTCATGGCGGTAGAGAAAAGAGGCTGTGGCGGGTGATTAAAACGCTGAGTTGTGCTCGTGGCGGCGGTACCCAAGTCAACGCACACGCAATTGTCCGTCAACGCCGCACTATTGCCTGCCTAAGCTATTAGCTACTCCGTACAACATTATACTTTATTTATTGTTATAGATTAAATAAACAAAAATGATGTTTGTACCCACTCTTATACTCACTTTTGTACCCAGCTATGTTTGTGAAGTGTTTTTTTTGTCTATAAACCCCGATTCACAGACAATATTTTGCACAAACAAAATATTGTCTGTGAACCAGGTTCACAGACAAAAAAAAAACACTTCACAAACATGGTGGGTATAAGGTGGGTATAAGAGTGGGTATATCAAGCATTGTTGTTAAATAAATAGATACTGCCTTCATTCCAAATTGATTTGCAGAGCCAATTATTTTTTGTCAAACGATTTCATTTTATTCACTGAATTAGGATATTAATTTTTAATTACTTCCTCCGTTCTATAATTCTTGTAACATTGTGATTTTTACACTATTCACAGATCTTACTTTGACCATGATTTTCTACTAATATACATAATCAAATTATTGCTTATGAAATATTATTGAACTCTTATCAATGTGAATTTCCAAAATATCAACTTTTTATAATGTTTACTAATACATAATTAAATATAATTACAGTCAAAGTTGTGCATTGGCAAACGTGAAAGTCAAACCGTTGCAAGAATTATAGAACGGAGGATAGTATATTTTATTTTGAATAGAGCAACTATATAGAGATTTTAATGTAGTTTCTCAATATGTTAATTAACTTTAACATTGGTTAATAAAAAAATGTTGAATATACAAATCAATTTGGGACGGAGAAAGTATAAAGTAGATGCAAATTTGAGAAAATAATATGGAGTATCATGCATCCATATGTGATTTTACATCAACGTATATTTCCATAATTTTTATAAACATTTGCTAATTCCAACAAAATTACTCCGCAATACCCGCATTACTTTGTTCGGTTCATTCTTATTTCATCGATCACAACACAACATTTGAATATAAAGAATGAAAAAAGTGTTAAATAAGAGGTAGGTTATATGAAACCCGTATCATACTTGTATTCACATGGAGTCATGGACCAATAATCATGTTGTTGAATTATTTAAATCTAAATTAAAAATGATATAATGATTTGGACCAATCAAGCGAATAATAGGTATGGTACCTGATGAAACGGTTAGTAATACAAGAGGGGATGAATTGTGTGTGTGGAACCGTGTTAGTTTTTCGCCAAGTTCTAGGGTGAAATGAGGAAAAATCCTTTGGCTCAAAGAGATTAAAAAACTTCGACCTCCCTCGGAAGAATTTTAACAACTTCACTAAAAAGCCTTTGAATGGTTACAAGAGAAACTCTCCTAGTCTACCCTTGAGTCGTCCCAACTTTATCCTCTCTAGGAAGAGTTATGCTTCTCTACCTTGCGAGTAGAGAGTCTCTCAGCTTTACACCAAAGATCTCACCACACACTAACCAACCCGAGGTTGCTACACTTAGCCAATCCTCAAAACCTGATTACACTATGAAGAAGGGAAAGTAGAACTATATTTAAAACTCCGTGTGAGCAGTTTCAGATGCCTTGACTTCAGTAGTTCTTCTATGAATATATTTCTCAATAGTAGTCTCGGTCAAGCACACGTTCTGCTCTCTTGATCTCGGTATATATGTAGGCTACTTGGAGAAGTCCGTTGATACTTTTCTTTCCTTAGGTGGTTGAGGAACTTGTCTTGATATTATTCAAAAAGCTTTCCTTTTATTCAAGGATCTTCTAGCTCTCAATTATAATGGTCCTCAGTCAACCATACATATATATATATGGGAGCAAGAGAATATGTGTACTCCATGAGTGAATCATATGATAACACAAAAGGTATGTGTGATCAAACACTCAATAGCAATCAACAAGTATAGAGGGAAATAATTTATTCCTTGAATATGAGCATGCAACGGCTCCTATGTGAATTATATTTCAAACGAGGATCATTGTTTGAATCCGTATAGATCATTAGCAAGGAATAAATTATTTACTTAACCATTATAAGTATGTTGCGGTCAACTTGCTAATCAAGCAAAGATTCTTTCCATAAAATAATAAGCTATATAAGCTATCTTATTTAAGTGGGTGTCTAATCATGCATGGAAAGAGATCTAAACATACATTTAAAAGATGCATGTTATTATAAAAATCATGGCACGTAGACATGTATTATGATGCAAGCACATATGAATTAAGCACATTAATCATTCACACAGAACCGAACTAAGTATAGTTCTGATTTCCGTTCTTGATAAAACTGAGAGCAGTTCTATCCGTTGGTTCACCTGCATGGTTAGTCATCAATAAAACACAGACGCCCGTTTGGACCTTAGGGTAGTTCTGTCCTTTGCTTCTTAAGGAAGAGTGAATAGTTTTGTCCGCCGTTCTACCTGCATGGTTAGTTATCAACAAAACCACATATTTAAGAGGATTCTTTCCTTTGAGCTCGGTCTTCTTAAATGGGTAAGATCAGGACATCATGTACTATCTTTAAAAGCTCGGATCTCCATATATATTTCGGTCCTCTTGCATGGAAATTATTCAAAAAATATTTCCTTATAGGTATCAAAAGATATTCTTTTTATTTGATTGAAGGAAATCATTTTTCTCAAGAAAACATTCCTTGTGAGAGGAGATGCATGAAAACCTTTTTGAATTTTGAATAACACTTCTTATTTTGGAAACTTGCTTTGTAGAAAGATCTCTTAATTACTGCCTTTGATTTAAATAATTTTTCTTTAAAAAGAAAAATCCTTTCTTTGTATGATGGTTGATTATTTCCTTACTATTTTTTTTTTTAATTTAGCAAGACAAAACTGAACTTGAATAGTGAGAAAAAATATTTTTAAGCAAGTCAATAAATTCTTAGATCCGTCGGTTAGTTCTAGGCACAGGTATATAGCTTGTTCCAAAGCAAGACTTAAACTTTCTTTCCTACAATCACTTATAGATCAAAAGTAACACTAGTTGTCACCAACAAAACATTATGTTCCAACAGTACCCTATTTTCTAAATGTGTACCAGAGTTGTCACCTAGCTAAGTAAGATCTTGGTATTTCGAAAAATTCAATTTGAACCTCAATTCAATTATCACCCAATTAAGCAGTTCAGTTTTTTAAAAACATTCAAACAGCTTTCTATCCGATAACGAACATGTTCGCTAATTATTGTATACACAGCGACTCACGTATATGTTTTCAATTTTTTTCTTTATTTTTACTTTGTTAGCTGATTATTGTATACACAGTGACTCACATGGATGTTTTCACTTTTTTCTTTCATTTTACTTCTCGACCATTTGATTTAGCTTCCACCCGCCCGTTTCGTTAAAATCCAGCCACCCCCTTCTTCCACCCATCAAGCCATTGGCCAACAATGCGCAGAGTCAAGAGGAACTTAAGTCACCGTAGAAATTTCATGTAAATATTACGCATACATCGATCACTAAAAAAGTAAAAATACAAGTACTTTTAAAATCTGGGAGGGCCAAAAGGCCCAAAACCTGATTGCCCGCCCCTGGCACCGGACGTCTCCTTCTCACAGGTTAATCGTCACCTTTCCACGAATCAACGGCTTGGAAAATATAGTCCAATAAAAAACTTAAGACTTTTTTAGCAAAGTTTAGTACTACGTATAATGCAATTGGAGTAACTAGATTTTCACCCGTGCGTTGCACGGAATGCATAGTCTTGGATGCAGTAAATGCTTATACTGCATTTAAGTTAAATTGTAAATATTGTGCTTACACCATTTGGTTGCAACAACTTATATATTGAGAAATATTACAATTATCATACAACTCTTATTACATAAAGTATAACTAAAGTACTATTGATTGATTGACCATCGTAGTCACATTTAGAGGATGTTTGGAACTGATTCTACTTCTGCTTCTTTTTTAAAGCAGAAGCAGAATCAGTTTTTAGAAGCTGGTCTCCCCCAACTTCTAAAAAAACTGATTCTGGGAGTAAATTATAGCACCAGAATCACTTCTGCAATTTCACCAAAACACTTCAGCTTCTTTTCTGCTCTCTGAAGGAGTAGAACTAATTTTAAGAATCAGATCCAAACACCTCCTTAATAGATTTGAGCCCATATGAAATCGTTATTCTTGAAAATACAATTACCCATATTTGATATTGGATGATAAAAAACATTACTCTTTTCAAATCTTGTTTTAAATTTTTAAATAAACAATCTCTTGGAAGGAGTTAATACCATGAGTTAGAATATAAGAGGTTAAATTTGAATTAAAGTCTTTAGTTTTAAGGCAATAAGCCTAAGACATAAGTGATGGTCTTATATATTTCGTCATTAATGGCCAGTGCAATAATAGTTGTGAAGTCCAAATAAGAAAGTATGCTTCCTAAGTAAGGATGATGAATCTAGTATCTTCTACTAAGACATTATTCATCATAAACCTTATACCATGAATAATGCCGGACTAAATAATACTCCCTCCGTCCCCTTTTAAATGTCCCATTTTGCCATATTGGGATGTCCCTATTTAAATGTCTCATACCTTATTTGATAAAGTTTGTGTGGCTCAAAATCATTCTTACTTTATTCTTACTTTATCAATTAATATCAACTACACAAACTCACTTTTCTTAAAACCCGTGGCACCCTCCTCCGGGACATTTAAAAGGGGACGGAGGTAGTACTATGTACTACATACTCCGTAAATATTACTCCGTATATTATACAATTTTAAAATACCAATAGATACAACATAATCCGATCAAACAAATTAGAACAACTATCATTATTTATAGATGTTATATTTGTAGACATCTCTACCTATACGTAAAAATTCATAACTAATCAGCCTATCATAGCCACCTGCCAACCATACACATATTAAAAAAGCTCATATACTTGATCATCTAATTAATATATACGGGGCATACAATTTATGTTAGTAATGCTCGATTTAAGACTTAATTAAAAGATGATGTTTCAGTAACTCTAAAAGGGGGTTTAAGTACAAACAGAACTTTATTTGCCAGGATGAATGAGTTTTGCAAAATAGAAGTAATATTAGGCTATTAGCACATCTGAAACGGAATCCCAAAGATCATCCGCTAAGACTCATAATATGGTCCAATAAACCATACTCTAAACCA